TAAATTTGGGTACAACGGAGTGTCGATGATCGGAGTCGGGCCGCATGGTATCACGGTTTATCGTAATCGCGACGAAGAAACGCAAAAGTACGTACAACGATTGCTCGATAATAAACGTACGATTAAAACGAGCTGTTCCCGTTCTTGGCTAACTTGATTCTTGATCGGTAAGAAATTGGGTGAATCGGATAAACACGTTGGAAAAACACGTTGGAAATTATTCGAATCGGGTATAGCGTGTATTTGCCATTCTCGATAAAGAGAACGGCCACCCAAGAATCTCTATCACCGCTATCTGCGCTTTATTTGCGCTCTCGGTGGTTATCGACTTTTTACAACGACGTAACAATGTCTTTTTCTTTGTTTTACAGCATACCGTACACAGCGATACAGAGTGCAACGTCCCAACGTCGAATGTTCCATTTGGTTTATCTTTCCCTCGATGGCGAGGAGACATCGTTAAATTTCAAATTAGATTCGAGTCAATCCGCCAGCGGATTGTATCGTGCGATCACCGAGAAGCATGCGTTTTACAGTTGCGAAACAGTGAGGAGCGCGGTTACCGCCCAATTTATACGCGACTTGAAGGTATCCCTTTGGACGATTATTGTTGACTGTATCGAGGAAAATGTGATAAAAGAAATAGAAGAGAAAATTCGTTTCCATTAATTGCTCGTTTTTCGCAGGGCACTATAATCTCGATATTCAACGAGGATTCGACGTTAGGAAAGAAATACGTGTTCGATATCCGTAGAACGTGCCGAGAGGTGTACGACAACGCGCGACGAGCTCTATACTGCGAGGCTGCGACCGTTACTTTGCCAGAGGAGAAGGAAATTTTGGAGAAACACGATTGCGGGGATTGCGAGGAGCCCAAATGCAAGGTATCGAAGAGCAATCAATCGAAGAAAAAAGGAAGAATAATTTTTTTAATATCGTTCAATTTGCAGGAATCTCGAGAATGTCTAGCAAAATTATTGGACGCGATGCTATGCCGCATTTGCATGGATCGCAGTTTCGACACCGCCTTGTTTCCGTGCGGGCACGCGGTCGCGTGTTTGGATTGCGCCAGACGGTGCGAACGTTGTCCCCTTTGTCGAGCTGATATCGACCATTGTCGGACGATATATCTTCCGATCGAGTTAACCCACGTCGATAAGCACAATCCAAAATTGCTCTCGGAATCCATCGAGCCTAGTTACAGTAATTCTTCTGCGGAGGAGATTCAAAAGAGAGTTTTGGCAACTGAAAGCTTGATGGTGGTAAACAGTAATGATATTTGAGAGCATCGCCATACCAAATTCGATACTTTTCAAAAGTTCTTCTTTAAAATTTTCGCTTGTCAGGTTGCGAAAACATTGTATTGAGTTTCACTCTTGACTCATTTACTCTCGTATACTTTCTCTACCTCTTTTGCTATCTATATATAATTATTTTTATTATTTGTCTTTTAAATTTGTTATTCTTCTCTTCTTTTAATCTACATTAACTGAGAAGATTGAATTATTTTTCTTTTTACGCGTGTTGGAAATATCAAATAATCATTTTCTTGCTCTATTTTGAGTTCCTGTTATCTATACTGAAAAAAAAAAAAAAAAAAATCATTATTTTCTGGACATTGTGAAATATTACGCATTTCCGCAGCAATGAAAGAATCATTCATTCTTCTTATTCTATTATTGAATTTTTTCCTTTTCTTTGCTTATTGCTTTTTTAATATTATAAAAATTTAAATAATTCGTTAAAACTGTGATGAAGAAACGCGAGTTCGTTGATAATGTTCATGAAATTACAGTAGTAGGATTCCATTTATTTGAATATATTTAGGATAAACAGTTCGTGTAAGTAAAATTTAAATTAAAAAACGAGATTTAAATATGATAAAAATGATAGAATTTTTCATATTCAAGTAAGTGAATTCAATCGGCAGGAATTCGCAAATAAAAATAAATGGAATCCTATTATATTATCGTTTAGACATTTATCCAACTATTTATAACAATATTAAAATGTTAATAATAATGTTATTGATACTTCTTAATTGAATAACAACGATTATCGATACTATTTTTTAATTGTGCGACCGAAAAGTGCTATTAGCAGCATTGATCTTTGAAAAACAATGCTGCTGTTATTTTCAAGAAAAAGTAGTACAATTCATTTTATTGAAAAATTTAATGCACCGTATATAGATTTCTTTTTAATAACAATCGGACCAACGACTTTTTTTTTCCTTTTAATTAACAGTTGTTTACGATACTTCTTGATACTTTTGTTCCTCTTAGATGTAGTTAATGTATATTCTTTTTTTCTTGTATGTTTAAACTTTCACTTAGATATAACGTCGGGGCATTGGGGTGAAGATTTTTTATTAAAACCAGTGACCCTAACGTGACTGTATTTTTAATATAGTGTACGTTATTCATTATGCATATGCAGAATCGTTTACAAAACGACTGCTATAATATTTCTTTTTATAGAGGATGTTTCATTTAAAAGGAACTTGAATCTCAAATCGTTTGACGTTACCCTTTACTCCATAGTGCAATGAAGTTTTGTTTATTGAAATGAAGAATTGTTTATAAATAAAAAAAATTAATATTTTTACAATTATGTTCTTACTAATAATATATTTATAGTTATGTACTTCGATGAACCAACTATAACGGATAACGTATTAAAAATTGTTCCTTTTCTGAAGCATCTTGTACAAGAAGGAAAACTTGTTACGGTAATATCTGTTTATATGTACATAAGAAATGAGATAACCCACGATAGGGTCAAGCGACTAAAGGTCACGAGCTCACCAAATGTCAAATCTGATTTATCAAACTCAGTGCAAATCATGTTTTAAGTAAGAGAATCGTAATTAAAGAAATACGTATTTATATATATTGTATAATATGTATTTATATATACATTTACATATATATGTATATATATACATATTAATCGATGTATTTTACATGCAAGAGATAATTAATATGTTATCGATGGTAGTTCGTTTCCAAAGGAGTACATGAAAAAAGGCTGTTTCCGTATCGAAAGAAAAAAGAATGAAAATATTATTGTATTATTTATATTACCTTTTGACAAGATAATTCATTCTTCTTTCTCATCCTTAACCCTTTTATCGTTACCATCATCGAAAACTCGGCGTATCAAAGATGCTTAACTAACATTTATAAATAGCATTTCATGAGTTTTGGATGTGTGTTGAAATGAAGAATATTAGGGAGAATGAAAGACAAAGAAATTATTATAGTCATTCATCAATGCAAAACAGATCTAGTTTATAATTATTTATAAGAAAAAGGATAATAGCATAAGGTAACGTGTAGTCGTAACGTAATCCCCTCTTTTCTTGACATTTTTAGCACTTTATATCTCTAATCTATATTTCATTTAATTTCTTTAGTATTTTTGTATATTGTTGTTAAGAAAATGGTGATTACGCTGCTTCTCTAAGTCAAATATCGATTCAAAGAATTCTATAAAAACGCAAATGTAATAGATTAAACTCAAAATATCAAGATTAAATTTAATATTAAATTCAAAATTGAGATAGTATATTGGTGCAATATCGTATGATATATTTTTACATCATAGGCAGAAATAAAAATACTTTTTTTTTCAAAATTTTCTAAATCATTTCTAAATCATATTATTGACAATTAACGTCAGTAGGTTTTTACGCACTAAAATATGGAAAGCAAGCCTATGAAAAAGAATTTTATAAATACCATAAATATAATTATTTATAATCTATGGTCTTCAGCATAAAAACGATTTGTACCACTGCTATACGTTTATTCGATATTTGTAAGTTTAATAATAATTATAAGGATAGCACCGTTATAATAATAAAAACAAATATTTGTGATTAACTCTCTGTATAAATGCGAAAAAATTAAAAATCAAGTAGTTGTTAGATCTGGATAATAGGAGTGAAAGATATATCGGAGAGAATGAATTTCTAAGAATTATCATTTGCAAAGAGTATTTTTAAAGTATTTCCAATTATTTTTAGTATTATATCAGGATTCCACTTTAATAGTGGTGTACACATATGAGAAATCAATACACTCTATAAAAACTAATTTTTAGCATTATAAAGATACAATGTCCCAACCTGTTGATTAAATACTATAAAATATCAATTGTTGTATGTCTTTTATTTGTATTTACTCTATGCCTGTTCCCAATTCTTAAAAAATGCAAATGAAAACATTGCTTTCATATTACATCGAAATTACTTTGATAGTATCAATATGTAAATAAATATAACATGATAAATACAATATGTTAGCTATTAAGTTGATTACTTACTCAATATTTTTATTATTTTTAGCGAATTATGTTAAATGGAAAGTTCAATGTACATATCGCTTGCAAGATTAAATTGATCTTTTACTTCCTTACTTTTTATTTTGATAATTATGTTGATATGATTAATAGTTTTAATCTTACGACGTAAATAAATCAAAAGTTTGAAATTAAAACTTTTTAGAATTAAAAACAAAAATCTACAATGACATAAACGTTATATAATTAAAAAAATATATTAATATATTTATTATTTGTTGGTTATTTTATTAATAATTTAATTTTTTAATTATTCAAACTTATGTTTTATATTTTAAAATACTTTAATCAATTTGGACAATTTATAGAATTCTATGATATTTTATTGATATTTAAGAAATCACTTGTACCAGAATTTAAATCTATGTTAATTAAATTTATATTTCAAAATTTTTTATATAATAGTTATGAAAAAGAAAAATAAAATAAATAACAAATAGTAGATGTTAATGATAGAAATTAACATGGTTTAATGAAAAAATTTTAAATTTGGCGCTAAATTATACCGAGCGGCAGTTGAATTAGAAGTTGTTATATCTGCGCATGCGTTTTAGATTATGATTGGTTGACGCAGCGGCATTGTCATATGACGAAGCTGCGTGGCATCATGGGAAGCAGATCGCAATTTTGCAATATGGCGGTGAATTGAGCCAAAGTCGCGGTGCTGTGCCATCAGAAAATGTATTTTTCATAGTCGCGCAACGTCTTTTATTATACTCTTTATGTATGCGACAGTGTAATACGGATTCGGGTCGCGTTAGACGATACACTGTGCATGTAAATATGAGTGTAACGAAGCACAACGTTATTTCGAAGGTGACACCCCGCAACTCGGTGTGGTGCTCGACCACGTATGGCAGAGACTAGAATCCGAGATAAGGAAGCTCTGCTTCGCCTAAGTAATATACGTATCGCAAATCAAAATTACCACCAAAAAGTAGCGATGTGGTGGTTACCCATCCCGAACTGTGAAAACGTGAGTGTTCTATATAAAACATAAAGTGTGCATACGAAAGTGCCTGTGGGTGCGTATTTCGGTAGCGAGGAGAGTGTACGGATGCCTTGTCTACGATCCCTTTCCAATATCCCTTTTCTATATTTCTTCCCATGATTTTACTGTAAATATTCTTGTAGTTTCGTTATAAATTATTTTAATTTTATATTGTAATATTAAACTAAATTTCAATCACGAAAACTTTAATGTACAACTCGGTTCTATTGAGTATGCCACCATTGCATTAAATATTTTTGATCAGTATGTTATTTCCATCCTTTTTACAAAAAAAATAGAAAAGTGTTCTATAAAATTAAGAAGCGATTCTTTATTTTTTACTAGTAACTGAATTCTCATCATTGAAAAATGCATAATCCGATCGATTTGTTCGATAATGCTTACCTTTGAGCTTTGCTCATGTTTCATCTTTACCTGTGCTCAAATTATATTCCACACGAAATCATTATGAATACGTCAAATGAAACGGTTTTTCGCCAATTTTTCTGCTATTACCGATATCCGAAAAACTGTTTTATGGTCGGTGTCGGTAAACGTCGATGTAGCAACGCTCCAAAAATACCACATGTTACGGTATTCTAAAAGCATCGCGCGTTGCAATGCTTCACTAACGATAAGAGTGTACTACGGGTAACAATACGTTGTATTTATTATTTGAAATAATTTAATTTTACAAAAATATTATTTCGATACTATAATTTAATTTATTGATAGATTAAAAATATATCGCAGTATTTCATAATATTTTTCAATCCGTATATTTCAATTATTTTTGTTTATCTATAATATTTTAAATATAAAACGGCACGGTTAAAACAAGAGATTGTAAGACTTAATAAAAAATTAATTTAAATTTAAATCATAAAATGAATAATTTTTTTAAAATAAAAAAATTGTATTTTTATGACAATTTATTGATCTGACAAGTTATTAATAGATATTATATAATTAAATAAATTTATTTTCATACTTTTTACAATTACATTTTTTCCTGCACAAGTAAAGAATGAGGTTACAGATGTATCAAATAAACTCATTAGCATACAATAAAGTTCTTCAAACATTTTAAAATATATTCTTTGCATCCTTTCATAATCCTTATCCTCCATATTTCATATGAGGCATCAATCGTGTATATGTATATGAATCATTGCTATTACATTTTTATTGTATAATTGTATAATACCGATAAAACTTATGACTAATGGATTATTTTTAATTTTTCAGATATATGCAAAATTCAAACATTTTATCAACCGTTGTAACTTGTGATCGTATATGTGTGCCAAACAAAAATACATAAAAGGGCATTGAAAAAATCCAATGGTTTCCTGACATAATGGAAAGTAAATTATATGTGAAAAATGAGCCGGGACTGGACGGGCAATCACTTACAAATCAACAACCAAACCCATCTTCAGAGGATACTAGTGGAGCTAGGGTTTGTTTTGTTTGTGGTACAATAAGTCACGGAGAACAGTATTGGCTTAGAGTAAAGCCAAGTCCAGGCGGTGCACCAAATGAACCTTACTTTCCATTTCTTGAATCCCATGAACCACCTGCTGGCTATCGTGGGGAAGGAGCTAGAAGTGGAACAGTTAAGGCATGCAGTCTTTGTTATGCCTTGCTGTTGCAACAATGGGAGAGTTATGAACAAGATGCTAGACCTCATAGTCAACGAATTTATTGGTTGAAACGATGCGATGGAGGGCCTTTTACGGGAGCTGAGATGGCTCTTCAGGGAGAATATGCGGCTCAAGTTCTGGGATTGACCAATGACCAAACCCCGCAGCTCAGACCTGAAAATCGACCGATTGGAATTTCTCCGCGACTTCCGCTAAATTCACCATCGCCTAGAGTGGAACAGACAAGACCACCATCGAATTCCATTGAGCTGCCAAGGCCACATTCTAACACGGCTGAAACGCACAGACATCTGGAACAAGCAAGGCTTACAATGGAATCTCCCCATCAAAGACTGCAATCGCCGCATCAAAGGTTACAAAGTCCTCGACAGCCTGTGGAAGATTCAAGAATATCAAACGAGGCGGCATTAGATTTGAGACATGCACCGAGGAGTTCACCTGCGCCACAACCAACTTTGCCACCACAACCTCAACGTAAGTTCATACATACGTTGTTCAATTTCATTCAGATAAAATGAAAAATTAATAATGGAATAAAAAAACTGTCCAATATTCTATATCGTCTTTAAATTTCTCCCCTTTTATATCATCAAATACACTATATTTCAAAATTAAATAATTCAACTAGTAATTATGTTTCTTCCAATTAATAATTGATCTATTTAAATAATGATTGTGAAATATGAAATTGATTCTAAATTTTGTATTGAAAATAAAACAACATGATAAACATTATCTGAGATTATCTGTAAAAGTGCATACATATTAAATGCATTATTGTAAAATATGTAATAATTATTTATAGCCATTTATAGCGGTGGATCAACGTCGAGTACCGGCACAGATATTTTAGATCTTTCGATGCCAGACAAAAATTCAGTTACGGAAGTTTGTTATGTGTGCGGAGACGAATTCAAAAGAGGGTCACTTAGTCATATTGCAGCAAAACCACTGCCAATCCCACCACATCCTTCTGCTAGTCCCCCGCCATTTTTTCCTTCGCTAATGCTTCATCCAAGACCAAGCAGAAGTCGACCAATGGATAGCGCCGGTCGTGTCCAAGTATGCTTATTTTCCTTATATTGATTTTACTTATATTTTCCTAAATGATTATTTTTCTGTACTTCTGTATTTAAAAATTTGTTGTTGATTTTCAGGCTTGTTCAGCATGTCAAAATCACCTTCTGCTACAATGGAAGGCATATACCCGGCAAGGAGTCCCGCATGGTGATCGAAATTACACGCTTCGTAAACGACAAGCACCTGCTATGGATACAACTACTTTTATTTGTTATACTTGTGCGCTTGAGTACCCTTCGTCCAGTATTAGACTTCTTTATTGCTGTCCTAATCCCGAGAAGGAGGCGTACTACCCTTTTATTTATTCTCTGAGACCTCCACCAGGAGCTAGTCCTATTAGTCCTCAGGGAATGGTGCAAGTTTGCTCCATTTGTTACAAAGCTATACCACAAAAACAGCAAGTATTTGGTGGAGAAAATCACGAAGCTCAACCGTCTGGGCAGAACGTAGATTTTCGTCAACAAGGTCCCTCTCCAAGACCCGCAGTGGCAAAATCTCCAGCTAATTCTGCTGGTAGTGATATTCGTTTCAAACCATACGATTTGAACAAATCTAGCGTTGCTACGAATAAGCAACGCAGCGCAACCATAAAAGGATCCACTCCAGGACAACGAAACTCTCCTAACAACGGTCCTGCCGAGAATGGAACGGTTGCTCTTGGCCAAAATTATAGGTGCTATATTTGTGAGAGACTGTATCCTCGCTCTCACATGGAATGGTACTATTTTCATATTTTTTTCTTATTCTTTGCTATATATGTTTACGTTTATTGAGCATTAATTATCTTTTTTTTCTTTTTTTCTTTTTTTTTTTTTTTTTTTTTTTNTTTTTTTTTTTTTTTTTTTTTTCTTTTTAACCGGAAGGTTATCCACAAGTCCAGAGGGAATGAATTCACATGCTATGCATTTTCCATGTTTACGTGGAATGGCACGTACATCAGAAAATGCTTGCATGGATAGTCATGGCAGAGTGTTAGCTTGTAGTCATTGCGTGAATCATCTTGCCCAACAGTGGGAAAGCATGGATGCTGAACGAGTTCCTTTAGAACATCGCAGGTCAGTTGTTATATGATTTTGATTATAAATTTTTCATGGCATTATATGAGTGAAAAAGACTCTATTTTTCTTTCTTTTTTTTTTTTTTTTTTTTATCATCTTTTCTTAGGTATGATATTCCTAGTCCACATCCAAATGGCGATGTGAATCGATCAATCGCCACCCCACCGAGTTCTAATTCAGATCGAACGTTTGGTAGTAACCCAGGCACATCGAGCAGTTCTATATATTGTTTCTTATGTGGCTTGCATAGTGATTTGACTCTCGCAAGAGTGTTGTATGGTCGCCCTCAGGGCCGTAATGCACCGTTTTTCCCTGAATTACTGCGCCATCAGTCTCCGCCAAACGCTGAACAACTTAGAGAAGATGGTTCTGCGTTAGTATGCACATTCTGTTACCATTCTTTGTTGGCGCAATGGCGTCGATACGAATCTCTTCCCAGTGGTCAACAAGTAAATGCTGCAGAGAGGCAATATAATACGCATGATTATTGCTGTTACGTTTGTGGTATCACAACGTACAGAAAGCGAGTCAGAGCACTGCTCGTAAAGGATTTTCCTTTCTTGAGGTATCACAGACAGCCTGAAAAGAGCCTTTTATTGGAAAACGGTGATTTCGCAGTGGTCTGTTTGGATTGTTACGAAACATTGCGCACTCAAAGCCTTGAATACGAACGATGGGGCTTGCCCGTTGAAAAACGCGAATATAATTGGATAGTGCAACCTCCGCCACCAGAGGATAGTCCTGATGCGGCTGTCGCGAGATTGCCATCCGGAGAAAGGTCTGAGAAGGTGGTAAGTCATTTTTTTCAATAATTACAATTTATGAATTATAACGAGAGCAATTTATTAATATACATTAATTATATTTTTCGTAGGTTCCATCGACTTTAACGGTTAAACCTGCACGAAAAAACTGTTCCCCGAAAGCACCGGATAAAAAAGTTCCGGCAAAGGTTCCAGAAAAAGAACAAGGTAAGTGGAAAATGTTTTGAATCGAAAATATAAAATATAAATTTTGCGTTTTATTTTAATTTAATGTGTACATTCAAGATACTTATTTACGGAATCTTCTTTCTTTCATTTATGACTCTACGTATGTATACCTGTACATGTATAAAATAATCATGCATACAAGTGTTTTAGATAACGTGTTATGTGGTCAAACATTTGCCAGACCCGCTTAGGTTATCGGTTTATATTTGAACATTATCTCATTCATAAACGTTTACTTTTTTCAAGTTATCTAAGTCGAGTACGTTAGGTCTTGTGTGTGCGTATGTTCTTTCTTTTTTTTTTTTTTTTTTTCTTTTTTTTTCTTTCATTTTTCTAATTATTCTTATTACTGTTAGATTATATAGTTTTTGTTGACCAATACTGCTTCACTGAATAATAATATATAATATTATATTATATTTATGAATGTTATCAAGATCGATATAATAATTTATACATTCCGGATATCATAAAAAGAAGAAAGACGCAATATGTAAAAAGTTTCTTGGTGTTTTTTTTGATATGATTCGAATAGATTTCTAAAACGTTCACAGTGCGCATATTTCTCAAGAATTCTCAAGAATTCTCTTGCTGATGTTAGTCCATAACATTTCTGTTTTCTTTTCTTTTTATCGTTCTGACTTACCAAACATGTATGCGCTCTCGTATCAAAAGGTAAGTTTCTCCGAGTTTGCGTCGTGATCGTATAACACATTGCGCATGCTTGCTATTTAGAAGTCGTAAACGTATATTTGAGGCGAACCTTGAAACGATTTCTATTTTCAAAGTACGATTATCATCATAAATAATCTTTTTATATATTATTTTTTTATTAAGTTACAATTGCTTCAACAAATGCGATAATTATAATTTAAACTGGATATTTAAGTCTCGAAGAAAAAATACATATAATTTGTATAATTATACCTATAATTTGCATAATTATTGCAAACAAAACAATACCAATTATTTGCTTCAAAATTACTGATAAAATACGACAATAAAAAAAGTTACAATTTTGACTTGAAGGTTAAAAGTTGGAAAGAAAATTACATTTAAACAAATCGCAATCACTAAGATCAGAAGGTCGATTAAGGTCGGTCGATCTGGCTTAGAGGAGGTAGATGGTTGGAGAGATGTTGGAGAGACTTAACGCGGTGGTTTGGTAGACAGGGTAGTAGTGCTCGTGAAAGGGGGTAAGTGGAGGAGAACGAAAGCAGGGTATGATGGAGGAATAGAAGGAGGGATTGAAAGAGAAAGAGCAAACGCCTGCAGCGTGACACCGCATTGCGCCCACTTGCCAACCCGCCCAACACCTAAATTCGAATTAGGAAACCAGCCCTGTCGTTTCTCGTCAACACAACTCCCCCCGTTCTGGTAAAACGTACAAGCAAGCCATCGTCTACTTACATTATCTATATATAGAAACGAGAGAGAGAGAGAGAGAGAGAGAGAGAGAGAGAGAGAGAGAGAGAGAGAGAGAGAGCGGAGAAAGAAAGGAAGCATGAAGACAAAAAGGGGATACGTTTGTGTATATGCGAACGAGCACGCTTATATACATGTGTATGCACATGCACTATACATGTATATGTATAGTCAAGTTCTATCCTTTACGACCCTCCTTTGCTCTCTTACTAGGAAAGCAATCAGAGGGAGAGAGGTGAAGAGCTCGTTTTCCTCTTCCTTTGGGAATCGATATCAACGTTATCGACTGCTTTTCTCGCTCCTTGTCGCTCGAAGTTTCATCGGGGCTGCTCACGTATTCTCGGTAGGCGTGCAGCCAAAAGGCTCGATTTTGGCGCACATTCTCTGTTACGAGATCGATGCCAAGTCTCGGTTTAAACGATCTCGCTTTCCTTATTTTCAAACGACATATACTTTTCTATTCTTTTTTTTTTTTTTTTTTTTTTTTTTTTGATAATGATTGTATGTTTTCGATATTTTATATTCTTTTTGAGAGATAAAAACTATTGAAGAGAAATCGTTTTCGAATCTTGAAGTTTCTATATGCGTAGATACGTTTCACAAAGTCGCTTCAATCTGATAGATGATATTTACATTTTGATAGGTCACGGGTTAATGCCACGCGGCTATATATCCGTGCATCTACACGCGCCCTCTTAACGCATTGCATGTGGTCCCTCTGTCGGCCCGTGTTAATAATTAACCATTTCGACTAGCGTGGCAGTAGCTTTGCCTACCTCTCGCGGCCACCTCGTTTTATACCGAGTAATATTCTAGTTACGCTCTCTCCTTTGCTTACCGATGCAAGCTAACTGTAAAATTCGCATAGAAAGCTAATTCGATCATTTCTTTTTTTTCTTTTTAAGTTTGTTTCGAAAAACATTGCAATTTTTCAAAAATATATTGGAAATCTCGTGTTTACAATAAATTTGGAAATTTTCGTAACATTATTAACGAAATATCGATTTTTTAATATTAATAATACGAAAAATAATCGAGCGCAATCAACACCGGATTACCGATTAATCACGTTTTAAGAGAGGCAATATAAATGCAAAGATACGTCAAGTTCGTTCAAGGTGAAAACCTTGATAAAAATAGTAGAGCTTATTAGCCCGTGGGGAGTTAGCAGTGTCTTTGTGAAGGTGAAAGAGGAAAGGAGAAAGGGGAAGCGGGAAATGGGAAAGGGAACAGGAACCGTAACGCAGCCGGGAATGGTAGTGGTGGATTTGAAGCGAGGGTGAGCATGACCAACCGCGTTTGTATATCCGGAGATTCGCAGCAGGATACGAATGAAAGATAGAAAGAGAGGAGGGAAGGCTGCAAGAGGAGGACACACGAGAGAAGAGGGTTGGTTACGGCACGGGTAGAGGTGGAAGAGGATAGCATGTCATGAGGGAAGAAGTACGAGAGGGAGGGGGGGAAGTTCTCTGTCGCCGGCACGCATTGATTTTGCTCGACAGACAGCCGCCTGTTGGGTTCTCTGACTCAGGGATCTAACTTTGCTGTCGCTCGCATACCATCTTTCCATCTTTCTCGCCAGATTTTTTTTTTTTTTTTTTTTTTCCTTTACCCTTACTATGAAGTCTCCACTGTTACTCGTTTTGTCCACGTCTATCGTGTTTTATTCCGTCTCTTTCTCGTCTCAAACATTAATGCAAAACTTTGATCCATACATAGAAAACTTATCTTCTCATTTTATCAAGTTGATACTTGTTGCTATCAATGTGAGCGCATTTTTCGATCATTAAATGAATGCTATTGATTCGCCAACGACTTTTATTATTATTATTATTCGAATCGATTTGAAAAAAATAAGCTTAATTAAATCGTCTATTAATGATATCGAAACTGATATTATTAATAGTCGTCTCTGCACATACATATATTATCTATTTCTCTCAATCGGTCCCTCTACTGTTCCGTGTTTCGTTCCGCGTCGCGAGAAGGGAGGATTAATTACACATCGAATGCGAAATGTCGTTCGATGTGGGAACGAGCACAAGGGACATATTGCATGTCATGGAATCCTATAATGTAACGCGAAGTTAATTACTTATCGAAATGTTGTGGTCGAAAACGTCTTACACGATGTACGTATAATATTTTATCGATCTTTAAATATTTTAGATTAAATATTTAGACAAATTTAATTTTTGTTAATCCATTTGTTAACGAAGTGATTTGACGGAACTTTAAAGTCAACGAACGACACGTATCTTAATTTTTTTACGAATGCACTTATAATTCAATTGATAGGCTTTAAAAAATTCAGTTTGCCTTCGTTTCATTTGTGCCTAAATCAAATTTATTTCAATTGAAATTTCCTATTGTTTCGTTTCTTTGATCGTGAAACTTAACTTTAATCTTTGCTAAAAATTCAAAAAATACAGTGCAATTTTTCGCTTGCAATAACTTCGATAGGTATTATCGTAAGACCATGATACCGATAACCACGAATACTGTTCGAATATCGGTGGAATCATTTATGAAGTTGGCAACTTGATAAGCTCGGTATCCGTGGCTTTCTTCCGTTTATCACCTTGTTCTCACCTCCCGCGTTTACAAAGTTCCGCTCATCTAACGCGCGGTTCTCACGTTAAAACAGCAAGGAAGGGATAACGGTCGTGGTATGGTCAGACCGACGAAGTAGCTGGATTTGAGCGGGGGTTGGCGTAAGCGGGCGGTAGAGGGAGAGTGGATCGGTGACTAGGAGTTGGAAGGGAGGGAAACCGAGCGGCTTGCTGGTTTCACAGCGCGTGCCGCTTCAGCGCCAGATGGCTTTCAAAGTGCAAGAGAGATAGTAGGATCTTGCTCCGTATATGTGCCCTCTTCTCGCTTATTACCCCCCAAGGTAGCGGGTGTATGGTTACGCAAGCAAGGAAGAAAGGAAACGAAACGTAGCCAACATTTCCAAATAATTTCTTCTGTTTTGCATTTCTTTTATTTCTTCTTTTTCCATTAATTTCTTCGATATTTTATTAAATTCTTTATTCCTATTTAAAAATTTTTCATCTATATAGAAATCAATTTTATCTAGATCAATTTTTAAATAAACATTTTTATTTATTATATAAAATATATATGTGACGTATATGTAATAATTGTATTCAATACAAAATATTATATATTTTCGATTATGATCACAATTTTGAATCGCGATATGATATTACATATGATGAAACTCATATACGTGAGTGGAACGAAAACAAGGATCGTTCGCAAAAAAAGAGAAAGAAGATTGCCGATTTGTGAAATCATTCTCAAAGATGCGTGTAATAACGTGCGATAGGTTCTATTGGCCGAAAAGCAACCGTACTTCGGATTGTCGCACGTTCGTATCCCACTCTCGCTCGAACAGATCGGACGATCTTGCTCGAAGCGCATGGTATCCGTAGGATCGAGAGGGGGACGATGGAGGGGCGAAAAGGACACGAAGGCGAACGAAGCGCGTCGAACGCGCGACTCGGCTCTTTAGTTGAGTACCAGCCACCGTTGGTGTCGTGTCAGGGTGG